ACGAGAGAATTATTTACCTGCTGGAAACTGCTTTAAATTGATTAATGTAAGAATAAATCCTCACGTACATCTGTGCCTAGAGATGGCACACGCAGGGCTATTTACTGTGGAAGTGGTAGGTGGACTCCACGTGTTGTAGACTACATCCCCCCTGATGCTTTGCCGGCATTATGGATGTAAGAGCATTGTGGGAGACGAAGTCCGCAACAACCGGAGTGCCCAAGGTTGTCAATCCCTGAACTATTAGGAATTCAAGGTCAGCTACGTGTCCGTCATGGCTATATTGTCATAAACGTTAAAACACTTCAAATTTACTGCAAATTTAACAACATGACGGGAGGCGAGTATTGTCCGTATCCGTCTTTATTTAGCTCCGCTAGCAACAAAGAAAACACATAGAACAAAGAACCAATCAGAAACAAGTAGAGAGTATATGAGGAAACCCGAGCACCTCCTCTTTCTTTGCTGATCCATCAACAATGAAGGTTTCTTGCTTTCTTCCATTTTTGTTTGGTTGTGGTTCCTTATACACCTTCATGCTTAATTCATCTCCCTACTGGTTTTATTATTAACCTGATCCTATGTCGGAGCTATTTCTGCATCTTTTCTGTGTCTCCCTGCCTCTGGCTGGATTTTTAAAGTATTCTTGTCTGGGGCTTCTGCTACGTGTGCTCCTAGTAGTTGCAGGTATTGACTCAGTGCAGTTTTCTCTGGGACAAGTGTCAGGTCAGTCAGTTCCTGCTACAATTGTGGCTGTGATTGCCTTTGCTAACCGGCTGCTTGGTGGGTGAGCCCTACATCAGAGTTGATTTCTATATTTTCTTGCTGACTATCTTTGGCTGCTGAAGGGAGCCTGCGTTTGCACCCTGGGTGATTCCTAGCTATCCTGAAACTCTATATCACCTTTATGGGTGTCCATGACTATGGTTGTGCAAGTTGCTTTACCCATCTGTGTGGCGCCTCGCCCCTTGCTGATTACACCCTGTGCCTGCTCTGTTGTTATTCCTGCTTATCTGCCCGGCATATTACCTGGCACATCATTCACGGTACTCCCCTTACCAGTGTTCTACAGGAATCATTCCTTACAATTGTAATATAGAGGATGCCAATCCCTTCCCTGTGGAGTTCCAGTTCATAATAAACACAGCGGTGGCTGCTGTAGTAGAGAGAGTGCTCTCTATTTTAGAGAGTGTCGGCTGCTGGGGTAGATACTGGGAGATCTGCCTCCACCGTGAGACGTGCCCAATGTTTGGCAGACTCAGAGGAGCCCAGTCGCCCCGCTAAGTGCCATTAGAAGGGTGGAGACACCTAGGCAGGACCTACTAAGGGTAAAGCACCCACTATAATGTGGCACAGACTCTGGAGTTTGATCAACTTATGATGACCTTTTAGCAAGCGGAGGCAGAGATCCATGCAAGGGGGTTAAAAAAGGGCTTCAAAGGGGCTTAGGATAAGCTCTTGGATGCTACCGGCCCCCATTCCTGTACATGGCAGTTGACGCCTTCATGAGAGGGGAGTCCTTTGATGTAGAGGCCGTATGAGAATGAGCCCATCATATCAGGGAATGTTTCTCTCTCCTCAGAAACAGGAGATATTTCCTGGCCTGGTCCACTATCAGGTGATACAGTGGCTGAATGTGGAATTCCTCCACATGGATACAACCTAAGACCAGTTGGTGCTGCTGAGGGGGAAGTGCAGGAGAAGAACTCCTAGCAGGCTCATTCGGGAAATCCAACTTCTGCTCCAGATGGACAATGTGTCCACAGTCCGCTACATCAACCACCTCGGAGGAGCTCAATAATGGATGCTGTCCGACATCACAACGGAGACTGTCTTTACTTTGCACTAGGCAAAGGTTGCCAGGTGGGAACCTGGGATAACATCGCGAGTCATGTTCCAGAGACGCAATTTGCTTTACTGATGACAAAGATGGTGGTTAACCAGGGATGGCCTTGATGGAGGAAACATCTGGCACTGGCCAAACATGTTATAATGTACTTACTCTGGCCTGTATTAGAAGGTATTATTTTTTGTAATTGGCAGAAAACTAATAAATGGGAATGCATGAAAAAAACTGTTGTATTTAAAAAAAATAATAATTTGGTACATTTGTCATGATTAATTCATAAGGACCCACTTTCATAGCAAAAGTGTCTACTCTGCAGAACCCCCCCCCCCCAAAAAAAAACGCATCGTTAAGATTAATCCAGTGACAGTAGTCAATATGTCAGTGACAATCAGTGAACACTTTGCGTTGCACCATTTGCCATTTTGGTTAAGCAGATGGTAATAATCGACGGCATGTTACACCAGCATAATTATGTAAAATGCTACATTTTAGACACAGGAGGAAAAGGAGAAAAGTTTTTATTTAGGAAAAAAAGAAAAGAAAAATATTTCTACTTAACTCTTTCAGTGACAGACACATATTTTTATCTTTAGTTTGGGTTATTTGTATCTCTGTGCTGTTGCAGCTTTTTAAAGCGCCCACCAGTAGGGCTCCTAAGCACTGTTTAACTATTGTCATTGGGGATAATTCACAAAACTGGAAATTACTGGCAATTGAAAGGACTCAGACATTTTCAGCCAAATTATCAGGATTACAAAAAAAATAAAAAAAATAAAAAACTAAACTTGTTTTTCCAGTTTGGTATTAAGTTTGCAATTCCAGTTTAGTGAGTACCCCACGTCACCCCCCTATTCTATCTATAGTTCCTGTGATACAATGCCACGTAATACCCCCAACATTGGCATCGGGTCTAGTGGGCGGCCAGTGATGCAAATCACATCACTGGTATTGCTCACAGGAGAGGGTGCAGCTGGAGAAATTCAATCAAGCAGGCCGGCCGGCCCACCAAGGACAGAACATGCAGAGAGCGCTGTTTCAGTTGGTGCATTAACTAACAGAGCTATCTTACAAGTAAGTACATTTAACCCCTTAAGGACACATGACATGTGTGACATGTCATGATTCCCTTTTATTCCAAAAGTTTGGTACTTAAAAAAACCTTTCATAGCCTCCAGTCCTAGTAATTCTATGTTATTCACCACAATGTAAAGTTAATGTGCTCTTTCCTCAGACATCGAAAAAGTGTGTGTCTTGCAAATTGCTTGAACAGCATGCCCTGTGCTATATCTCTGATTTCTACTTCATCATCACTAACAGCAACAGTCACTAAATAATCCTTAATCACATATCTTGTCCTACTCCTTTCTGCATATGTACCTGCTTCATTCATTAGCCTAGGTCTCTGAGCTCATAGCTTGGAATCAAACTCCCATTATACTCATCAAAGCAGTAGTAAACCAAAGTTTACTTTGTCCTTTGTCCTGCGTATCTGCTGCTTAATTACAACCCCTATCATTACAATTGATATATCTCCAAGATAGAATGGAGATAACTGACATCATATATTGAGATAAGAGTTGACATATTCAGCATTATTTTTAATTTGAAGAATAAGTTGAAAGAGTTAACGTGGAGGCCAAAAAAAAAGAGAGAGAGAGAGATTGGAGCCTCTGTAACACCGGCCTCCTGAGTGCATCCAATTACATCGGCAGAAAACAAGTTTGCAGGCCAATTAGCCTACCCAAGAACAAGGCATTTGAAATGCAAAGCGAACAAAGAAAAATAAATGGATCCGATAAAACCTTAAATTAAAAGAGAGCGCATCGTTCAGGCTGAGGCTATTTATGGAAGAAATGAAAAGTTCATCCTTGTTTGCGCTGAGCTGCACTACCCCTCCCAGATTTGAAATAATTCCTCAGCTTACCCCGACCCGATACTAAAACCATTAAAAGGAACACTATAGTGTTAGGATTACAAAGCTGAATTTCTAATGTCCCACTTCCCCCGCATCCCTCCCTCCTGTGCAATGAAAGGGTTGAAAACGCTTGAAACACCTGTTTCCAACGCTAAGGTGGCCTTTTCTCCATCTCCTCCGATGTCAGTGCGATGTGGAACCTAATTCCCATCCGCAGTGAGTCCCTCACCCACATTAAAGGATCTTTAGGTGTCCCCCACCCTCAGGGCCCCCCTCCAGCCGGGCTTTAGGGAGAGGAAGGGGTTAAATCACTTACCTTTCTCCCTCGGCGCTGGGGACTCTCCTCCTCCTTCGGACGTCATCGGCTGAATGCACATGCGCGGCACGTGCCACGCATGCATTCAGTCAGTCCATAGGAAAGCATTCTCAATACTTTCCTATCGACGCTGGCGTCTGCTCACTGTGAAAATCACAGTGAGAAGCGCGGAAGCACCTCTAGCGGCTGTCAACGAGACAGCCACTAGAGACTGGATTAACCCATAGGTAAACATAGCAGTTTCTCTTATAGAGAAAAAGGTTAATCCTTGGGGGACTTCATTAAGCTGACGTGGTCTGGGTGCCTAGAGTGGTCCTTTAAGCATTCCCCATCAGAACGCATTGAATTGGTGCTTTCCTATGGAGGACATCCATTTCTCTAAAACGATAATGTTTTACATTGCAAGTTTAAGGAGACAGACACTGCACCCAGACCATTTTAATGAGACAATGTGGTGTGGGTGCCTATAGTATTTCTTTAAAAAGGGGCGCTCCAGGCACCCACACAGTATTTTAAGCCTGCCCTTTCTGCTCCTCTCAAACTGCACTGTTTACCTTTTTCTCCAAAAATTCTGTGAATATGGTGTAAGTTTCTGGAAGTTATAGTTTGGATGTTAACTATCTACAATAGAAAGCTGAAAGTTAAATTACAGGTCCCACAAACCCTTGCTGTACCCATACAGTGCTGCTTAGGGTATAAGCTTAGCAGGGAGATAGAAAGTTCAATGGTCACTCAGCACCATAACCAATTCAATTCATCTTACTGGAGTAGTTATAATGCAAAGAAGTTGACCTTATAGCCTTTTAAAAAAATAATTAACTTCAGAGATAAATACGTTTGTTTTATTCCTGTGTGCAGCCTTACAGGGCTGCCAATCAGCAAGCTGGGTTACTCTCTTCCTGGCTGGTAATATCAGTTTTGTGCAACATTTGCTTTTGGTAGTAGGAGATAAAATATACAGTGTATAAGGAATATAACTCCAATCATACAGTGGCTGTCTGAGCCTAATAAGAATGTTGCTCCATGACAGCTTTATATAGCAAGTCATCAATAAAACCAACAATCGCTATGAAATGTTGGACTGGAGACGCACATTTTAATGGCTGAGGATATATTTGTGCAACTATTAGTAAATGGATATTGTATGTATTTATTTATTGCAGTGATTAATAACATGTATTCATGCATTTTTGGGTTTGCAAAGTTACAGTTTAAGTCATGGGTCGTCAAATCCCTTAGGGATTTTCTAATTTTGAGAGATTGGGTGGGTGGGCCGGCGGGTGCGAGCTGGCGGTACCCCTGCTACCGAGTACCGCCATCACCATTTGCGGCCCCGGCCCATGCGGCTAACCGCCGGGGCCGCATATCGAGGGTTCCATCGGGTGGCCCATGCTGTCAGGGCCACCCGATGGATGTGGATTGTAAGGGGGCCCGGTCAGCGCTGGGCGCTTTAACAGCGTGACTGGGCCCCCTGTGATTACATCACACACTGGGAGAAAGTGACTGCACGTCACTCCTCACAGCTAACACTGAGAGCCGCGCAGAAGGAAGACCAGGGAGTCAGAGTGGGAACTCTGACTCCCATCCACCTGAGCCACCACTGGACCCCAGGGAAAGTCACCCTCCTGCACCTAAAAGGTAGGAAACAGGAGGGTGACTAAAATATTTTGTGTGTGTTTGTTTGTTTGTGTATGCGTCTTTGTATGTATGTCTTGTGTGTGTGTGTCTGTCTGTATGTGTGTGTATGTGTGTCTTATGTATGTGTCTTTGTATGTATGTGTGTGTCTTTGTATGTATGTGTTGTGTGTGTATGTGTCTTTGTATGTATGAGTGTAGTATGTATGTGTGTCTTGTGTCTGTCTGTGTGTATGTGCCTTTGTATGTATGTCTTGTGTGTATGTATGCATGTCTGTGTGTGTGTGTGTGTCTGTATGTATGTGTCTTGAGTGTGTGTCTGTATGTGTGCCTGTCTGTATGTCTGTATGTGTGTGTCTGTCTGTCTGTATGTGTGTGTGTGTGTGTGTGTGTCTGTATGTATGTATGTATGTGTGCCTGTCTGTTATAGTGGGCTATAGTAAGTAATAGTAAGTGGGATACCTAGCTCAGCCTTCCTACTGGGCATTGCTATAAGGAAGGTTAAAAAATAAAAAATAAAAAGGGAAAAAAAAGGTGGGGAGGGGAATTGAGGAGGGAGAGGAGGGGAGCTGACGCACAGATGTCATCATATTATGCGCAAACAGAGAAGTCGTCTGAATATCACCGAAAGAGGAGACCTTCGTTTGTTCCTTTCGAAAATCGAACCAGATATCAAATATTTAGTCTCGCAGCATCAACCTCAAGGATCTCATTAATCACTAGTAACGGTAATTTCAATTTACTTTATTGTTTTCTCATTAAACTTTATAAAGTTAAAAACATTATAAACATGCATTAAGTAGAAATAAAAAGATAAATGTACGTACATTTATTTTTTTTAAAACACCCTCCTTTCTAAAAAATATTCCGCACTTGCGCGAAAACTGGTGGGCGGTAAGGAAATTTTTTCAACCAAAAAGATGCATTAGTGGGCGGTGGATAGAAAAAGGATGACTACCACTGGTTTAAGTGAACGTCTTGAATGAGTGACTTCCTGGTTTGGAAAAAGCTCACTTCATACACTGCACAGCTTCAAAATTTGCAGCAAATGCAAGGATCTCCGTGTTAGTTTTTTTTTAGCTTTCATTTATTGTTTGTATTTATAGAATGCAAAAAAAACTGTCAAATCTAACCTGTAGTTTCTCTAAAATATTACAGAACTCCAGTAAGGAATCCTTTACTGGTCGAGAGAAGAGATACAATTCTTGTGAAAGGAAATTCACTTCATTATCGCCAATGTTCCATTTAGTCCGGGCTTAACCCCTTAAGGACACCGCTTCTGGAATAAAAGGGAATCATGATGCAATATTTCCTTCATGTGTCCTTAAGGGATTAAAGCAAAAAGCTAACACAAGCCCAATATAAGGAACGATCAAACCTTGTGCAGCGTGGTTTGGGCTGGCTCGGCATTGCGAATCTGCCTTGCTAGCCAGACAAATCTGATCTATAGATTGCGCTTAAAAATATATCCTACAGCTGTATAGATTAATAGTTGATAATAGTTGATCTGGAAGATCAATTCTGTCTCTTCCAAGATGGCCTCCACTGTGGGTGGACGCACATTCATACGCCACCAAATGATGTGCTCGGCATCGTCACAGCGCTGAGAGTCAGGGAGGGGGCATGCACACAGGACTCTAATTATATTAAAATAACTGGCCATGTGACTTGCATAATGCTTGGAATTCCATAATATTATAATCATTAGCGTTTACATAGCACCACCAGCGTTTTCTAATATTAACATGTTATGATATGGCTTTAGTTCCGTGTTCCTCTTTCCTTCCCCTGTAAAGTCTGCCCACCCCAGCACGAGTGCCGTAATTAAAATGATACAGAAGAATGATTTGTTGAAGTGATTATAGATGTTATGGTCAGAGTGGGTCTGGTGCGGCTTGCGGCGCAGGCTCAAGAGATCAACTTTTAAACGTTTATTAGTTCTGCTCTATTTTTACAGAATCCATCAAGATAATGGGCCTTTGGAGAATGGTCCTGCTCCCCTAAAAATATCTGTTTCACTGCGCGTTGGGGAGAGCTCACAATAGTGGACTTGGGGAATGTATTAAAAGATTAACCCACTGAGTGCCACATTGCCATATCCAACCAAATGCATCTTAAAGCCTTTTATTTTTTTCCCTAATGTGCGGAGTCAATCTCCCTCAGGTTCTCGTCGATTTGCGCCATGGATTCAGTTGCAATAACTGAGCATTGAGAGCTGAATTAACAGAACAAATGTTTCTCTTTGGATCACGTGTTCTGTGTGGCTCTCCCATCAGAAAACCAAGGGTCCGATCAGCGAATACAGAATATCTGCGGTGCAAAAGACATTCACAGCTATTCTGTCTATCAACCAAATAACAGACGCCTCCAGCAGTGATTTTCTTTAAAGGGATTTTAATATTGTTTAGAACACACTGACTTCCCTGAATGTTAAAATTCTCTGTATTTTTTCCTCCAAAACATTTTATTGTTTAAAATGAAATAAAATCACATTCTTCTCTAAAGAGCTTTAAATCTGTTATATGAGAGACAATTAATAGTTCTCTAACATACATGCAAAGTATGCAGATTTTGATTTTTTAACCCCTTCAGTAACATGGGATGGGGGGTGGCAGGGAGAGGGGCCCTGCAGGATTTTAGCCCAAATCCCTATGTCACTATTTCTTATCCTAATGTCACTCCATATTGTTGGTGTGTCTGAGAGTATAACAGAGCTCCACAGCAATAAAACTCCCAGTAATGTGTCTGAGTGTATAACAGAGCTCCACAGCGATAATACTCCCAGTAATATGTCTGAGTGTATAACAGAGCTCCACAGCGATAATACTCCCAGTAATGTATCTGAGTGTATAACAGAGCTCCACAGCGATAATACTCCCAGCAATGTGTCTGAGTGTATAACAGAGCTCCACAGCGATAATACTCCCAGTAATGTGTCTGAGTGTATAACAGAGCTCCACAGCAATAATACTCCCAGTAATGTGTCTGAGTGTATAACAGAGCTCCACAGCAATAATACTCCCAGTAATGTGTCTGAGTGTATAACAGAGCTCCACAGCAATAATACTCCCAGTAATGTGTCTGAGTGTATAACAGAGCTCCACAGCAATAATACTCCCAGTAATGTGTCTGAGTGTATAACAGAGCTCCACAGCAATAATACTCCCAGTAATGTGTGTGAGTATATAACAGAGCTCCACAGCAATAATACTCCCAGTAATGTGTCTGAGTGTATAACAGAGCTCCACAGCAATAATACTCCCAGTAATGTGTCTGATTGTATAACAGAGCTCCACAGGAATAATACTCCCAGTAATGTGTCTTTAAACAACAATAATTGTGTTTAGAAATCAGTCTTTGTGAATAAGATACATTGTTCTTGTTATAAATTACACCTTAGTACTATAAACTGTTATCAGTAAGTCACCTAAAATGTTTCAGAACAGCCCTGCCCTGGTCACACCCCCATTCACACCCCTTTAGTCTATGTGACATGTTGACAGGTATGCCTATAACAGTGGGGTATCACCGTGGAGGGTTTCGTGGCCCACCACTACAGCCGTTTAATGAATGGATCACGGCACCCGCCACGTCAGTAACAGAATAAAACAAAAGCAGTATACCGTATTTCTTCTCCCCACATGCTGCACTGAGACTCAATGAAATTTGATGTTGGCATGAAGTACTCTCTTTGTGCCGTACGATCAGTCATTACTCATTTCCTTTTTAAATAATTGTATTCTGGTTTATCAGTCATGGTGATGAATGTTTTTAGACCAGTGCGCCAGGCGTTTATTAAGATTTCCAATCTATTGTCTTTCCTCCTGCAGAGCCTCTCACCGCGCAAGGCATTAAGGTTCAGTACGCTGCGAGCTCAAATGCCTTTTAAACCCGCAGCCCTCTGGAGCTCGCTCTCCTGGGCTGACATTTATCTATCCCAGGCATCAGATCGAGATTTGCAGCCGACCGTCTTCTGCATTTACTTAGCTTTGGAGCAAGAATTAATTCCCTGCTCAGAGACAATGGCAAGAGGCTCTAAAAGTTGTCACTCTGAATAAATCACGGACAAGGTAGACAGCGAAGAAAGCATTTGAGATCACGCCGGACTAGAAATGAAGGTTATTAAAGCGTCCTGACAGTTAAGGTTGTAATGTACATGTTTTATAGGGTGACACTGTATTGAGTAAGAAATCTGCTTAACATCTAAACGGCTGCGCCTTCACAGGGTCACTAGGTTCAGTGTCGCTACCTGAACTTCAATTCATTGAAAAGTGGTATGGGGGGGGGAGGGTTATGGGACGCAATTCTGGGACTGACGCCAGGCCATTGGACCAAGGAAAGTAAAAATCCCATTTTTCCATATTGACAGTTGGCACTTTGTATTACTGAGTGCGAAACATTACTCATTGCGCAACAGTGAGTTTGCGGAACGCTGAAAACCAACTTTGGACCCATACAGTTGAGATGGAAAAAACATCTGACTTTTTCTGTATTTTTACATTATTATTGCAAACAACAGTTTAGGATTAGTTTATGCTGAAGAATAATCCCGCTAATATCCACTAACCG